AAATTTTTTATTTTTGATTGTAAAAAAAAATGTTTCAAACAAAAGTTGTATGCGGTTTCGAGGAGGACATAAGGTGGTGCCATTAATTTGATCTTGAATAGTTGCTTGAGGGCCATGTGAAGGTAACCTTCTTACATGGAACCACCTACTTTTCATTACATATGCTTGTTGCAGACATCGAAAGCTCTCCAAAACACTATAATAAAACATTTTTATCTCAAGTACTTTTTGAGTTATAAGACAAGATCTCCTCACCTCAAGGTGACCTTTACATGACCTTCAAGCAACTATTTAAGGTCAAACTAATGGCATCACTTTATGTCCTCGAAACCATACAATTTTTGTCCAAAACATTTTTTTCTACGCTCAAAAATAAAAAACTTATTTGGGGTGGGACAAAATGGGACACCCTGTATATTTATATATGGACAAATTTGATATATAATTTTGTATAATTAGATATAACCAATTTGTCTAATTATGTATTTTTTTTGCCCAGCCAGAAATGATAGTTAAATCGACGTCGAATTGATATCAAATCGATATCGATTCGATATCTTTTCGACCGATCATTTCTAACTGGGCGGGAAATTGGTTGATTCAACGTTAAAATTATGTCAAAATGATAGTCGAAAATTCGTCAAAATTTTGTACCATTTCGATGTCGATTTAATCAAAATTTCAACTTTATTTCAATTGGTTTTTGACGTTAATTCGACATCACACAACTATACATTTCTGACTGGGGAGGATAGGTACACATAGTGCAGAAGGTTGTAGTATGGACCATTATTTGAGTAAAAAAGTTCATATTAACATGTGTTCAATTTTCAATAGGTGTGGAGTTACAGCCGTTTGAATGTTAAGTATCAACGAAATCTGCTATAAATTAACAAGAGTATAAAAATGACTTATTTCTGCAAAAAACTTACAATAAATAATGACAGCCACATGAAGAACTTACTGATAAAATTCGTGATTCACAATCAGTCGAATAATTCACAGCAGTTCAAAGATTTTCAAAAATACCACCACTGACTTCAAAGCACTTTTCAGCTCTGTGCAACAGAATGTGTAGCTCGTCTGAGGTCGTCTTCACGTTTTTTTATACAAAAACAAATGTCCTGAATGCGAGCAATCAATTCTTCTCTTGTGTTAATTTGTTCTGTGCGTAACTGTACGTGGTTACTTCAAACGTCAAACAGCTGTAACTTCACGATTGATTTTATTTTAAAATCAATACGTGATTAGTGGAAATTTTTTTACTTTTCACGTTTTTACTTTAGAAAAAGTTATAAAATCGATACCCAGATGATATTTAAAGAATATCCAGAAGACATTCGAACATCGATAATAAATCATTATTAAATTTTATATATAAATTATTTATATATTCATTTATTTTATATATTTATTTATTTTATATATATTTTATAATTAATACTATATTGAATAAAACAATTATTTTTAATGATTTTATTTTAATATTTTTTGGAAGATAATAAACAAAATCAATTTATAAAATATGTATAATAAATTCTTTAACTTTTTTGCGTATAACGATAATATTTATCCTTTGTATAAATATATTCGTTATAAGATCATTAAATTCTATTATTTTGTTTGAAATGTAATATTCCTTATCTGTAATCGTCTACTCTATACTTTCTTATTAATTATATATTTTTTCTTAATTTTTTGTAAAGAAAGTTCTTATTACTATAAATCATCTCTATAATCATCGAATCCAGGATCTGTCGATTTTTAGACTATCGCTTTCACATAAAGTTATTTATATTTTTTATTTAATTGTATATACATATAAAAGGAAAACAGAGAAAATAAAGATTTTAAAAGAGAGTATAGGAATATATATATAAAAAAGTATTTTTCCAACAAATTTTCTAGTATCTACATAAATGGTTAAAATTATATATGGATATTGTAGAGGAACATGTGTGTTATCAATGAATATACATACATGCATGTAAATTTTTGAATGATCTAAAAAAATTCAAATTTCTTAAGATAATCGGAAACTTTTATTATATATATATATACATGCACATCAATATATTTTATATTCTCTTTAATATTTGTTGTATGCGTAATTATTAAAAACATTTCCAAAAATATTTAATTATATTATAAAAAATAATATAATTTAACAATTTTATTTCTAATAAAAAATAATCATATTCTAAATATGCATTTAGTTTATTTATTTTAAATATCCAAATCATTTCTAAAATATTGATTTTATAATATATAATAAAGAATGTAGCAAGTTGTTTTTTATAATTATATTTGTGATGTTAGAGAACAAACTTATCACTATTTTTATATTGTAGTATTTTTCATATTTTCAGGAATCGCACATTTAACTGATGTCTCATTTTATGTTTGATAAACTTCTATGGAAAAAATCCAATAAAAAATCCAGAGAATGTGATGATCAAGAAATAAAACCTTTATTTTTATATAACGATAAAATTAATGAAGTCGCCAGTGATGAGTAAAACCATACAAATTTATTGAAATTTCAACCTAACTGGCCAGTACAATTTAATTAGAAACACTACGTTTTATTTTTATTTTTGTCCATTTTTAAGTATAAGATATGTATGGATTTATTTCATTTATTTTGGTATACATATATGTATGTGTATGTTTTATACATGGACGTAGGAAGTATCTGGACGCAGCTTTTGTCAGAGAAGTTGAAGCCTAAGGGGTGAAGAGAATGAAGACCAATTACACACGGATTCAACAACCAAGATGGCAGCTGGTAAAGGCTAATGTCACGGTTCATGGTTATTTTCATGTTATTTTTTACGTTTTTTCGTAATAACACGGCATATTGCGCAACGACACAATAAACTATAATTACACCGATTCACACACTAAACTATTTTAGATGCGTTGTCACGAAAAAAAATATTAAAATAACGTCGCGTTTCATAAAATTAGAAGAATCAACATATATTTATGTGTACAACCAAGATGGCTGCCACAGATTCCCTCTTCAACCCTCAGGCTTCAAACCCCTCGTCTAAAAGTAGTATTTTATGCTCCGTCCAGATATTTTCTACGTCCATGGTTTTATATGTGTAATAAACAAGCATTGTTTTACAGAAATCATATTACGTGTATAAACATAATATATTTTGTAGTTATATCAAATAATGTATTAAAAAATTTGGTATAAATCTTTTGGCATTAAAATTTAAAAAATGGGACCCAATAAAAAAATAATCATAAATATCCAATGACTTTAATAATATTACTTGATTTGTATTTATTTAGGATTTATTAGATTCCAATAAATAAATGTACTTTGTTATGCCAATTAATTTCAACATTAAAAACTTCGTTCAAAAAAAATATTTGGAATAAAAATTATATACGTTTCTCAATTAATTTTTCTCTCATTAAATAAAAAATTTATTTTTTGGATGGAATTATTTCCATTAAAATCCTGATATAAAATATGAAACAAATATATTGCATGCATTTTATTTATCGCAAATTATAAAATTTATGAAAATATCAAATAAATTGAAATAAATAAATAATCAATATTCCAATAAGTAGTATTTTTAGCCATTTTGTTGCAATTTGACGTCAAAATGACTATTTTAATATCTAGAATGTATATATGTATTGTTATAAATGTATACACACACACACACACACACACACACACACCACACATGTGTGTGCGAATATCATACAATTTCTAATAAGTAAGTGCCGTTGTAAACTTTGTGATATATATTTATTTAGAAATGTCCTATATGTAATTTAAAAAAATTCTCAATATTGAAATTATATTAATTGCACTATTTACATTCAATTTTTTGATAAAATTAAATAAATATGGATGAACTTATATAAACATGAATTGTAAAACTACAACTTTAATAGCAATGCAATGCAGTAGTGTTAAGTATTTAAAAAATGAAGTAGTCGTGTATTTGTCATGACTGAAAGAAATGTTTATATTTACAAACACGAATATATTTAATTAACATAATAGAGTATTTAAAGCATAGTATATTTAATTAATAGTACAGTTAAATTATTTTATATGTATTATTAATATATGTAATTGCAATTGAAAGATAAAATTTAAAATTACTTTTGTTTTAATTATATATATATATATATATATATATATATATATATATGTATTATTATGTACAATTCTATATGTATATATTCTTCTAATATGTTTCTAACTTATTGATTTATATATAAAACGTTAACGCAAGCAGAGAACATTTAAATGAATTGCATTTTTATGAAATTGCTTATAAATGTAGATATACATATTTATTGCTATAGTAAAAGATTATACTACGTTGTAGTTGTCTGTGCACATTCACGATATTTAATTATATATTATATATATTATTAATTAATATTACAATATTACATGTTATAATTCAAATAACATGTTTAAAATACTAAAAGATTAATTACTCATCACTTTAATGTTTTTAAATTAGTATTGATGATATTATGTCTATATGCTGAAGTATTTGTATTTACAACGTAATAGAAAAGCAATATAATGAAAATATGTTAATAATATATACTCTAGAATAATTTATATTTTAAAGTGTATTCTGTTAATTCGTTACTTATTCTTGTATTTAACGACTCCAAAACCTCTCTAGCTATGTGTAAATATGACAGACAGTTCCACAAAGATTTTAAACACCGCTAATTTATTTTATTAGATTTTTTAAATTAATGTTCCTTTATTGTTATCTTTTATTTATTATTACTTATTTTTATTTCTTATATACTGATTTTAGCCTTATTTTTGTAATCAAATTTCTCTATCGTTTTTTGCAAATATATGGCTAAAAGAAAAGCCAAAACGTAGATACGCGTTAATATTTAAATATCTTTTTCATTTTTTATTTAAGTTTTAAAAAAATATATATATTATGTTATATATTTGTTAATAACGCATATATTACATTGCATTATTATTGCAGTATTGTATTGCAATATTGCTACAATATTGTATTGCAATATTAAAAGTGGACATTTTACCGTTGTTGCAATATTGCAGTAAATGTTGCAGCAACATTTTGCAAATTTCTACAATGTTGCAATCTTGCAAAGAAATGATTCTGTAAAATTGCTGCGCTATATGAGTATTTTCATATATTTTCTCTTTTATTGTTGTTTCAGTGTATACTAATGAGTGAACGTAAATTTTTTAGCACATTTTCAAAAACATCCGGTGTAAAAATTTGAAACATCAGATATTCTGTCTTTCAATTCATCGTTGTTTACAATGTTTCGTCTCATAGTTATTATACTAATCAAATATTCCAAATAAAAAAAGTTTAGAATATTCATGTCAGAAGATCTCAATGGCCACATTATCAATGTGAATTACAATAATCGTCTCATTTATTAATTAATAATCTATTTTATTGTATTTAAAACATTACAAACAATGTAAACCAAAGTGAGCTAGAACCCGATGTTATGCTTCTTAATAGATAAAAGTAAATTTGCTCTGCTCCCTGCATTTCTGGGTTCTTGCCGCGACCATGTTAGATTGTGACGTCACACGCAAGAAAGTATACAAGCTAAAAATTCTTACATGCCATTTTTAAATAAAAATATATAAGGTCGCCACCTTGGATATGCTACAGTATAAAGACGTGCTTTCAAATGCTATCGTTGAACTTCAATAAATCAGCCTATTTGTGGGCTACCTCGTGGTTTTTTTCCAAACCCAGAAGCATTAATTATCGAGTGCTAGCATTGACGAAAAGAAAATTGGAGCAGCCATACGCGAAAACCTTCCCATCTCGACCGTTCTTCGGACCTGCCGGGCAGCGAGCGGCGGACCTTTGCTTCGGATGTTTGCTTCCTGCGCAAATTTTCCTCTTCCTTTTCGCCTTCTCATGCAAATACAATTTTCGAGGCGATGGCAACCAAAAAAGACCTTTTTGCAAATTGTTATTGTGGAAAGTGATTATAGGTAAATACACATATTGCCTTATAAATTTTATTTATATGTGTTTTTTTTAACAGGAGTAAGATACTTTTCCCTCAAATATTTCTTACTTGTGTCTAATAATTTTACTCAAGACATTATTTCATTTCTAGGTGCAATTTATGACAAGAGACCCAATGTATCTGTTGCGGATTTATCATTATATGCAGGACAATGGTTAAAGAATGCTCCATATGGAAAACAAGATGATGGAAGTTACGGAAGACGTGATAAAAAGTTTAAAGAAGCAGATGAGCACTTATCTTCATAAGCATTTATCCATATTTTATTTTGTTTGGCAAACATGCATTGATATTTTATTTATTCACATTTTATTCACAGTTTCAGCAGTTATGTTTACAGTTTACATGTTCAATATAGTTTATGTTTACCATTTTATGTTTACACATATATATTTATAATAAACAGCATAATAATAAACTTGAAATTTGTGAGAAGTTATTCATTAACTTTCTTTTATAATGTTTTTTTCTTTTTTAGTTTAATATACATATATATATATATATATATATATATATATATATATTATGTTTGCATGTTTCTATCTTATTTCAGTATATTTCTTAAATCAGTCATTTTCTTTCTCATGATGCGCTTCATTTTAGAAAAGATAAAAACAAAAATATAAATATAGATGGGCTATGAGATGCGTACCTGGCGGGCGTACATGGATGTTAGGCGCGTTATACCGAAATTTAAAGTTTTTGATATTACTTCGATAAGAAAATATTTCTCAAATAGTTATTGTAAAATACAGTATCAAAAAAATAATTGCTGCTTATACACAAATATCGACGTCGAATTGACGTCAAATCGACTTGTCAATGACTGGTCGAAATTTAAGCCCATTTTTAAGTCAAATCGACTACAAATTTCGACCGTCGATCGACCAGTATCATCGACGTCGATTCGACAAATCATTTCTGGCTGGGAAAGCAATCTGCCACATATGTGGCGATCTCATATCATCTCATAAAAAAGTTATGTGTACATACATCTGACACACCCTCTTGCATTAATTGCAAGAGAAATAATTTGGAAGATACAGCCCATGCTGCTTCCTCTAACTCTTGTCCCATTTTTATAAAACAAAGATTCATTAAAAAAACAATGGCTTACTACAATATTTTTCATTCTGAAGCCACCTACCTAATTAATAATGGTAGATCGGCCGATCTTCAAAGTTGGACTCGCCTCCCCAGGAGCATCCCCCTTCCTACTCTTAGTGAATACCTTTCCACTTAATAAACTCTCTTTCTCCTCCTTCGTCTTCTCTCACAACAAATACGCGGACAAGGCCAGATAACTTATTCTTCATCTTCACCTCTCCCTCTGTCAACCTTCACTCATTCATCTTCTCATTCTCCACTATTAATCTCTCTCCCCTCTTATGGTTACCCCCCTTCATTATCTTCCTTTCCTCCTCTTCTTTCAACCCTTCCCCATCCCTCAACTTCCGCCTCCCGCCCCCCTCCATATTACTCCAAACAATATATTAACAACAACAAAAAAATAATAAGCCGAATAATAATAATTATATTGACAGGGATGACCCTAGAAAGAGAACTGTCAACAATGACAAGCACACTAACATTAACAGCTACTCTCCGGTTCAATGTGATAACTCTCACTCTTTCTCTCCATTACCCCCACTAAACTCAACTAACGATATCACCAACTCCTCACTACCTTCTAGGGCTCCTGACTGCAACGCAATTAAACCTCATCAAGAATTCCTTGACAAATGGATCGATCAATGCAAATCTAAATTTTTATCTCTAAAAATGGTTCATCGAGATGTTCTAGCTGAGATGAGCCTCAACAACTCTCTTTGTGCTCCTAGACTTGCTCTTATACTTTGAAATGTCTCTCTCTAATATAAATGTTTTACAGTGAAACTGCCGATCTTTCCAAAGAAGAATCCCGGAACTCACTTTCCTACTAGATGAATTTAACATCGGCATCACTACTCTCTGCGAGACTAGACTAGATGAATTGATACGACCCAGTTTTTCTAATCATGAAGTATATGGTTAATCGAAACAGGTATGGCGGAGGGGTAGCCATTCTAATTAATAAGAACTTTAGATTCTCTTTCATTAAGAACCACCGTATTGAGCAAATTTGCAACAATAATAATATTTAATTTCTACTTCCCAAGGAGAACAAAAAGTCACGATAATGTCAAAATGACGTCAAAATGACGTCAAAATGAAGTCAAATGGCGAAAATCACAATGACGTCAAACAGGGGAAAAAAGTGACTATATTTTGACATTATTTTGACATTATTTTGACCTTCTGTTTTTTATATTCAGTGCATTGAATAAGGGAGAATTCACACCTAGGCAGAAAAGCAGAAAACAGGAAAGCATTAGCCAATCAAAACTCGGACTGGTAGTAAACATAATACAACAGAAAAATTCTTCGGTTACTACTTACTACTAGCGCGAGTTATAATATATTAGCTTATTAATGCTTTGCTGTTTTCTGCTTTCTGTCTAGGTGTGAATCTCCTTTAAAGCAGTTTCACAAATAGAAGATAAAGAAAGAACAATGTAGAAATAAGTTAAAATTACTTTTTATTGTAGTGTCTTTGTTAACTTAAAAATATTTTGCATCTAAACATCTAATATTATAAAAAGAAGTCTTTAACTTAAATAAAATTAAATATAGAAAAGCTCTTCTATAAATTAAAAGAAATATTACTTTTTTTTTAAATAACAAATATTATAACTTTACAAAATTAATATTATTATAGAAATATTATATATAATAATATACTATCCTTTTTAATTAAAGAATAAAAATTTTAAAGACATAACAAAGATAAATATATATATTTTATAGAACTAAAAAATAAAAATAATTTAACTTTATTTACCTTATTTAAACTAAGACAAAAAGTGACAAATAAAAAAAAGTAGAATTTATGTGTTAAAGTCGGAATACAATTAATCCCCATCAGAAGATCCAATTAGTCTGATCGCTGCATAGAAGTGTTAAACCATCGTTTTATATGGTCTTCAAATACGGAAACCTGCACCTTAGGAAACTTCTTGAAACACCTATAATTGAAAAAAAAAAACAATAAAGCAGGAGTAATTTAATATTCTAATTAGCAAACGATAATTTAACTTTAAATATATATTTCTAATATATTTGTTCATTAATTGAATATATATATATATATATATATATATATTTAATAAATTTGAAAATAAATTTTAAAAAACAAGATGATATTCACTTTCTATTAGATTTTTCACTTTGGATTTTTGAAAACTGAGCTTGACTTCTCCAGAACCTTTCCAACTAATGAGTCGTGCTACGTTGTTCCTAAGTAGAGTCGACAAAATAGAATAAGTGTAAATAGAGGTTGTTTCTTCCTTTCCTTTTTGTAACAGGTAATTGAGCTATAACATAAAGCCAGTTTAAATATTTAATAAAGATATAAATATTTGAATTAACAGTGATTAAAATAAGGCACTATAAAAGAAGGTATTCTCACGTCCGCCATTTTCTTTCCAACTAGGAAGAAATTAACTAATCACAATTGAATTTAGAAAAATAATTTTGTGATTGGTTAATTTCCTCCTAGTTGGAAAAAATGGCGGACGTGAGAATACCTTCTTTTATAGTGCCTTAGTTAAAATACTCACCATTTGACCATATAATACTTTATTATTTAATTGTTCATCAAAGTTTACAAAAGATTCCTCAGTTTCCAATGGCAAGGAGGGAAATCCTTCAGGCTAATCAAAAGCGTCATTATTGGGGAACAATTCGTTCAAAATTTGAGAAATCTTAATGTGCAGCCAATCTATCTTTGTTGACAATTCTTACATGTAATTCAGGATTAATTGATCTTGAGATTTACCTGTCAGAAAACCACATTAATCAAATGACAGTTTTTAGTCAAATCTATAATATCTATAATAAATATAATATTTAATTCATAAGAGATTAATTATAATCACAGAATGTGTGAGAGAAATAATCGAATATGATTATACATATAATTAATTTCTTATGATTTAAAAGTCTGAAAGTTTTTACATATACAATAATAATAATATTGTATATGTAGAAACTTCCAGACTTTTAAATCATAAGAAATTAATTATATGTATAATCATATTCGATTATTTCTCTCACACATTCTGTGATTATAATTAATCTCTTACGAATAATAAAAATTGTTTTCATTGGCAAGTGATAGTTTTTGGAACCGACTATTTTTACTCAAATTTATTAATTAATATAATGAGAGTTACTAATGTTATTGACAATGATGACTTTTTTATATTATTGACAAATTACTATAAAAGTTCGATTCTATAACAGGTATCATATAATAAACCTTAAACCTGATTTATGGCTGTCAATACCTAAAGCCGTAAATTGTAAAAAATAAACTAATCATACAGTTAAATGTCAGAAGACTAATCGAATATAATGGATTAAATTTAAGACTTACAGGATAAATTATTGTATATGTAGAATATAAAATTATTGTATATGTAGAAATAATCACTTGCCAATGAAAACAATTTTTATTCTTTCATTATAAAAATAAAGTAGAGAATATAACTTAATACTAGCTAGTTCTGGTGAAGACTGTGAACCTATCAATAATAAAATGTTCAATTCAGAATTAATTAATTATTTTTTATCATAATAATAAGGTAATCAATAAAAATACCTTCTAAAAACCTTTTTAATGATGTAGATCTGTTTCGAGAATTTTTTTTTATTTATTTGTCTCACACTATCGTAATCAGATTTTGTAAGTATATCTTGAGATTCTGGAGATTGCTCAAAAGTGGAAGCCTTTTAGATAAATCAAAATTGTAAGAAAAATTTGGAGATCTCAAAGTTGATGACATTTCATTGTCAGACAAGTTTTTTTTATTAGTAGATTCTGAAAAATAAAAGTACAAGAGCATATAAGAATAGTCTACTACTATTAAATGCTGCAATAAAATTCCAGTAATTAGAAATACAAACCAGATTGTGTAGACTTTTCCTGCGATAATCGACGAACAAGAGTTGTATTTTTCTTTGATAATGTAGATGAAAGATTTGAATTAGTAAAATATTCATTCGTAGACTTAGCTGAATTCTTGGCTTTGCTACTCTCGAATAATTCCTTGAGCTTTAAAGACAGAATTGAACTAGGTTTTGGAATATTGTGTCTTTCCTTAAGTTTCTTCTTTTTTGATTCTTCAACTGACTCAGAATCTGATGAAAATGTTAGATGTTCAGGTGGCTTTCTCTTGCGTGGTTGATTGTAGTCTGTCTCAACATCTGTTGCAATAATTGTGTCCTCTTTAACAGCTTTATTTCTAGCTTTTCGGGCAACATTGAAAGTGGCTGTATGCAAAAACCACAAGACAAAGATTAAATTACGAAGATATAGTCTTGCACTGTAAAAAAAAAGATAAAAACTTACAATAACTATGATGAAATATAATGGGCAGCAGTTCCCATGTGGATGAATCATAATCCACCAGACTCATCACCATCTTCATACATTTCCCCTTCATAAAACGTGGCGGATAATAACAAAACTGTCTGTCCTCGCTAATCCACTTGGTTGGTACAACTTCTACGAGAATTTCTTCTTCATCACTTTCAGCTTGAGGCACAAACTCTATGACAAAATACTGTAAAAAAATAAATTTGAAGTTTACATCAAAAAAACAAATAAAGTAATGACATAAATGACCAATAAGATCTCACCAAAAATTTACTGAGGACCATTGTGAAGGAGAGGAATGCAAAGAAAACTATCTTCATCGGGTAAAATAACACATTTTTGAAAAAAATCCTGCAGTTTGTATATGGTTTTTACAGAATCTATATGTGACACTTTAAAAATTCCAATGAATGAGGAAGGAAATGGGTAGTCATAATAATCTACAATACTTTGCAAAGAAACTTATGCCCTGCTAATAATATATCGCCATTTGGTGAAGCTATAACTTCGGTTAAGATAAGTATGTTCCCATCTTTTGTTGAGAAACAGCAATTAGCTTTATTAGTCGAAAGAGTTATACCCTTTAAATATATTTGTACATAGCGATCATCAGGAATTTCTGGAACAATATTTCTATGCAATTGTTTTTTTAATGTAACTTTATTCAGATTTGATCTCTTTGACTCTGCAGCAAGTTGCCTTTTTGTCTCAAAATCCCTATTAACTAACTGCTGGAGAGGCTTATCAGTTGAACGCAAGTGATGTTTAATTACAGCCATAAAAGACTCGCATTTAAAAGCACTGAAATCCAATAACGTACCATTTTTCTGGCATTCAGTAGCCATGTGACAAAGACAATGTACATTGTATACCACATATGATTTATCAAAAATATCTGTGGAATGCCTGATAAACTCACGATATATATTATCAGCAATAAAAATCCAATAATTGCTTTTGACAAATTCAGGAGATGAGAGAATGTAAGATGCAGAATGAATTAATAAAAAGTTTTTGTAAGTGTTTTCATGAAGTCTGTATCGAAAAATGCGCACTCCATCATACAGAAGAAGACGTCTCCACTCAGTTGCTTTAAACTTGGCTTGATAATATAAAGATCTTGGTCTACGGTTGAATTCCATGGGAATCCAAGAAGCAATGTCAATTATATCAGAGCATAAGCTCAAACGTGTTAGTCTTGAAATTTTACCATATGTGATAGCTTGATATCCACAAAGATACAGAACCCATCTCTTAAAAGCCCCTTCAAATAACAGATGCATTGGATCTAAACGAAACTTTGAAACCATTCCACTGTTGTCACTTGCCATATTTTCTAGAGGCAATACTCCATTATGGTGACTAGGCTGATCTCTTCTTCGATAAGATTCATCCGTACGCAATGATGCATTGAGATTCAGAAAGGTAAGACAATTTCTAAAACGTGCACCTTTTACTGTGCACTTTTCACATGTATAGATACTGTTGTGGCTTGAAATACATTTTACATATTGTCGTGCTACAGCATCAAGTATGTAATTTCTAATTTTAAAGGAATAGCGGTTGCCATAGAAGTCATAACCATTTAGGGCTAATTCATCAACTTCATGAATAAAATCTGCTAAAAAAGCATCAAGATTGTCTGGCTTTCCAACACCACGCCACACACCTATAATAAATGGTGTAGCTTCTCCTATAAGACAACCCAGTATAGGCCAGAAGTTATCATCAGTGCTTTTAAATAATGCCAAACCATTAATGTTTACGTCAATAATAATTTCTTTATGTTTAAGCAAGTAATCATTGGTAACTCTTTGATTTAAATTAGCAATAATGCCTTTATACCACATTAAACCTCTACCATTACGTTGTAATTCAACTTTGCGTGGAGTTTGCAGTAAAGTTTTGTGAGATTTTGGTAAAAAACTATGGAGGGATCGTAATCCTACAAGAAGTTCATCAACTTTTCTATGTGCAACACCTCTCATTGCCCATTTCTTCAAAAATTTTAATAGATATTCATCAGAATTCTGTGTTAATTGAATATCATTCTGATCCTATGGAGATTAATTACAAATTCTTCATCTGAATCAACATCAGTCTCCACATTTTGCTCAAAACTAACATTGTCTTCATCTAGTTCTAGTTCATCATTATTATTGCAAAAGTTGTTTCGATTCTCTTCTACTTCTGAATGAATTGATGAATTATCACATGAATGTTGATTATGACCTTCTAGTTCAAATATTTCTAATGCATCATTAACTTGTGTCAAAGTTTGTCTTACTTCTTCGATCTTAAGACGCTTCCTGACCTCTTTCACAGATGAAGCATGCAGCTTGCGTTTCATATTTTGCTTTACGTACAATAAATAAATTTAAGAGAATATATTATATATACCTAAATGTGTATATGTGACAGCATAAAAGTCTGCAAATTTAATAAATAAGATAATATCGCAACAGTACTATATATAATATAAATATGACAGTACAACAAAACACAATATAAAAGTAAAAAAATTTAAAGTAAATAGAAATATTATCACAACATGACAATACAACAATACATATATACATATATAAAAAGAGAAAGATTATTCAAATGAACAGAAATATTTACTTCTCAGCTTTATTTTAACCTTTTTGTTGGATTTTTCTGATGTCAAACTATATGATCATTTTCTGCTATCTTTATAAAGAAAGTGCGTCAGCCGACACATATATTATTCTAACGCAAGGAATTTTATTCTATCAACAATGTTAATATACACAAAAGTATGTAAAATCTAATAACAAATATTATTTTAAAAATCTTAAAAATAATAAATTTGTACTACACAATTCTCTAATATTTTAACTATGAAACTTTAAAAATCAAGAGGTTAATATTAATTAGCAATTATAAATACCTTTAATGAATTCATTTCCTTCGTGTTTCCAGGCACAATTAAACCGCCAAATAATCACACCACTAATGAAAACAGACCATTCGTCCTCTTCTGGATTTGTTCACGCTTGCTTTGTGCGTAGTACACGTGCACACACGTTACAACACGCGTCAAAATAAATATGGCAACTGTATGGCGTCACTTTCGATTTCTAAAGTTTTTAGCGCCCTCCATATCCATGCAGGCCACAATGACGTCATTTTGACGTCACCGCAGAAAGGCTTGATATAAATTTGACATTTTAAAGTCAAAATGACATCATTTTGACACTATCGTGACTTTTTGTTCTCCTTGGGTTGGGAAGGTTTGGACAGAGAAAAATAGATTCATCTACGTCTGCTCTTTATACAGTCAGTTTCGTGGTAACAATTATGTTTACACTGCGCCTAATACCTGGCTGCAAATTCTTCAATTTTGCTCTAGCTTTAACCCTATTATCGTGTACAGAGACGTTAACGGAAAAAGTGCGCTTTGGTCCAACAACCTAATAGGTCCTGACGCTGAGGGTCGCAAGCTGGAGTTTGCAATTACTAATACGGACCTTCTTTGTCTTAACAACGGAGAGTACACTTGGTGCTCATCGGACTTAACGTCTACATCTAGCCTGGACATCACCTTGGCATCCCCATCCATCGCTTACTCTTGCTGCTGGAAAATTTTAGATGCTAATTACGGAAGTGATCACTTCCCCATCATCATCAGCATTAAAGGCTTCTCTACTGTCCTTCCTTTTCTACTGTCAAGATTGACTGGACAAGATTTCAAGATTCATGCACTAATCTTGCTAAAGAATTTTACATCGACATAAAAGACCTGAACCTTACATACGACAAGCTCATTGAATCCATTCATCGCGCTCTTCTGGAATCAGGAGCGATTAAACACAAAGCAAATAATTATTGTAAAAAGAACCCTTCTCCATGGTGGGACGAGGACTGCTATAACATCATACGCAACAAAGTCAGTTCTTTTAAAACATTCAAACAACACCCAACTGCTTCTAATCTTCAAAAATATCTTGAGTCCTGTAAATCTGCCTCCAAATCTTTTAAGAAGAAAAGAAAACAATCTTTTCAGCAGTTTTGCTCTTCGCTGAACGTGGACACTCCCATATCTAAAGTTTGGAAATACATTAGAGCCTTTTCCAACAAACCAGACTACAGTTTCTGAAGATTCTTTTCACGAAGCACTCAACAATCTGGCTTCTCTCCATCCACCCAAGGTGTCTCCACCAGGACATTGGAGTGCCTATCAGATATTTCTTTCAACGGAAAACACATTAGAACTGACTTTCTCTTGAAACCATTCTCTGCCATAGAGTATAACGAGGCTATCTCCTCCCTCAAATCTAAGTCAGTGCTTGGTCCTGACCTCATATCAAACCAAATCATTAAAAAATTTCCTTAAGAGCTACATTTCTTAATCTTAAAAATCTTCAACATTATGTTTAACAAGGGAAATTTTCCTAAACAATGGAACGAGTACTTCACCATCTTCATTCTGAAACCTGGAAGAAGAGATTCGCTTAGACCCATTTCTCTCTCCAATAACCTCCTCAAAATCTTCGAAAACTCATGCTCAAAAGAATTGAATGGTGGGCTGAAAACCGTAAAGTCCTACAAACCTATCAATTTGGTTTTAGAAGAGGACTCTGCTGTGCCGACAACATAGCCACATTGGTTACGGATATCCGTCAGGCCAACAAGGATAGGAAACTCACAGGAGTGATATTTCTGGACCTCGTCGGAGCATTTGACAATGTTATTCCCGAAGTTCTGGTATATTGCTGGAAAAATACTGCCTCCCACCCAAAATCACTTCTTTCATCAAGGCCACTACCAAGAACCGTCACCTCATTGGGTATGCTGCGGGCATCGATTTACAACAACAAACGACTTTTCGAGGCCTTCTTCAGAGGTCCATCCTCAGCCCAATATTATTTAACTTACATATCCCTCTAATTCACTCTTGTCTTCCAGACTCTGTGAAAATTCTTCTCTACGCAGATGATATAGCTATCTATAGCGCCAACGAAAACCTTGACGCTATAACGGACCAACTCAATGTGGCTTTGAACAATATTTACCACTTCCTTGGACTTTTAGGACTCTCCATCTCTCCATCAAAGTCGTCCTTCTTAGTCTTCTCCAATATGAAGAATAGAAATCTACGAATACTAATCCGCAAGAGCCGACAGCTGCCGAAAATCTTGGACGAAAACATCCCACTCTCTTTTTCTGCAAGATTCCTGGGAGTTTATCTCGACTCCGAACTTAACTGGAAGTCGCATATCAACCAATTAAGGAGCAAAGTCATTCCTAGGATTAACATTATCAAAGCCATTTCGGGAATTAGATGGGGAGCCCACCCGGCTGTTCTTATAAATGTTTACAAAGGATTCATCAGACCACTATTGGATTGGGGTTGCCAAGTTTTTCACCCACTGGATGCTTCTCTCTACCTCAAGGTCTGCAGACTCCAGTACGCCGCTCTTAGAACTGTCACTGGAATGATGTGCACTATCCCTACAAACGCGCTCCTTGATATTAACGGCGAACAGCCTCTAAAAACGAGGTGGTTTTTTCTATCGGCTAAGTTCCTCGGTAAAATATTTGCACGAAAATCACACTCTCTCAACTCCTTTTTATCCTCTCTCTTACAACCCCCTGTAGTTGACTCCTCCGAATTGGGCTGTCTTGTTGATATTTTCTTCTCCAATTCAGACGTATTTAATTAAGTTGAACGATTCGATTTACCGAGCTATTTAGCTGCGGATAGACTCGACCTTTTATACGGACGGTTCCAAATCCATCACGGAAGACAGGGTTGGATTAGCCGTTTTCTCTCCGGAACTCAATCTAGAGTTCAAAAATAGAATTAATAATTTCTGTATTATTTTCGAGGCTGAGACACTGGCGATATCTAAAGCTCTCGAATTCATCGTTGACAGGAATATCAAGAACTCTGCCATCTTCTCTGATTCTCTTAGTGTTCTATCTTGCTTAAATAACCCCGTAATCTCCGGGAAAACACATCCCTAGATTATTCAAATTATCAACTCTATATCTTGGTCATTCCAAGGAGTTTAATATTAAGCTTATCTGGATACTTAGTTACTCCGGCATTCCAGGTAACAAACGTGCAGATTCCCTAGCTAAAGAGTCCTTGCATCTCGCTGATCAGCTTCAGCTCTCTAAGTGCCACCACTCCCAACATACTCTAAATTCAAAAAAGACGCCAAAAAAAGCTTCAGACATTCTTCGTTCTGAAAGTCTTTATAAAGGTGCCAGATATTTACACTGCATTGACTCTAGTCTGTCTCTCCCCTGGTACATTAAATTTAAAGAAAATCTTTCTCGCCCTATCATTACTCTCATCTCAAGACTAAGAACACAGCATACTGCCACTGATGGCCATTTGCACGAAAAAAATATTGTTGACTCACCCAAATGTGCTTGCGACCACCCTCTTCAGGATTTCAACCATACTTTCTTTCATTGTCCTAATTTCTATCAACTTTCAGATGAACTAATCTCATCCCTATTTCGCATCTCTCCTGAAGCACACCTTGACATTTCAAACCTTGCCTTCTCTAACAATCACAAAATCTACAAAACCCTGTTTTCCTTTGTCCAATAAGCTAACATTAATATATAACTAACTCTCATTTATAGACCTCTTAACAATTAATGGTGTATAGGCCTATTCCTCTGGAAGCCTTAGCAGCCATAATAGAGAAGAAGAAGAAAAAGAAAACCTCTCAAACCACTGCCTATTTTTTCATGACGACTCTAAAACAAAACCTGGAAAATACATGGTTTTTTCCATCTACTCCCCTATGCTAAATCTCCAGTTCTTATACACACGCCTACACTTACACGGAGACTACTCAGTTCGGCGGGGCTACCGTTATCACACTCTACACGCTTGTGGCCGGCAAGAAGAGACCAAGTCTGGTTCGCTGAGGCCATTAAACATTGAAGAAGAAGGAGGAGGAGGTAATCGAGGCCTTATCCCTCTCTCTCTCTAAACAATGCATACAATTACATCATATATCTGATCAAGCAAAAACTCTGCGAAGCAAAAGTTAAGAGAACCTTCAAAATACCATCATCTGACTTCCCGCCCACACAGTCATTCTCGGGAACAAGAATCTACGATACACCCGATTTCACACACGGATCTATACTCCACTCTATGGGAGGAATATATCACAGACTTGAGCAAACTCCTCAAAACTCAAGGGCAACTTAAAGACACCCAGTACTTCCAGTCCTTCGTGAAATTAACCCAGAAGCCCTTCCACAAACTAAATTTTACTCGTGAGGAAATCTTCACTTACTGCAGGATAAAAAACAATCATATCACTCATTCAATCATAGTTTATTTAGGTGCAACCTCATTTCTAGCCTGCTATGTCTTTGCGGTGCGATACAAGCAGATGCTGACCACATCTTTTAGAACTGTTCCATTCTAAACGATCAAAGACAATCGCTCTAAGAAATCTCAATAAGCTGAAACTCTCCCTCTTATTAGATAGCGAATCTACTGGCAAAGCCTTCCTCTAGGGTTATCAAATCGCTCCTATCCTATCTCAAACAATCTAACATTCAGATCTAAAACCCTCCAAACTCTCTGATTGATCCTTACAACAGCTCCCTCTCAATTTCCCCACACATACACCAGACACCTTTTGATCAATACTTTGTCATCATACCTAAAAATCTCATCTAAGCTTAGGCCAAACTCAATCCAAGAAGGATAAAGAAGATCAGGAGAGGATCCACTCAGAAAGAGAAGACCTACTATAAGAATAATCATCCTTAACAGACCTTATGGCTGGCAAGATAAGACCATCACTGGTTAGCAGAAGCTATTAAACCTTGAGAAGAAAAAAAACATTTCTATATGATGACGAATTAATACCAGTATAAACATTCAGCCTTCTCTTCTGTTTCAATCCGTGATGACAATCTCTCATCTAGTAAGGATTTTTCATTAATCTTATCTACAATTATAACTATATTTTATAATATATTCATTTAATAAAACGAAAAGATTCTGATATATATATATGTATAAATACAAAACTCAGGTAGGAAAACGAGCTAATAAGAACTAGATGCAGAAATTAGACAAACTTATTTAAAATTTTCTTTATTTAATGTGAACGTTCAGTCCTTTAGATCGATTAATAAAAATATTCATACGTTTTGATGATCCTCATCCTTATCTCTTCGATAAGTCTTCAATCCAGTTAAGACATGATGTCAATAATCTAAACAGTCAAGTATTGACAATGATTCGTGAAAGTTAGAGAAAATAATATAAAAATTTTAGAAAATAAAACAAAATTAAGAAAACAATAAAGCAAATCTATACGCCTGAATTTTTATCACCAAAGCTATGTGTCCATCTTTTTATTATGTATATACATTAAAATAAAAAATTAACAGAGTGAATAAGTATATAAATTGTTTTCCATTTACATCAAAACTCAGATAAATCTCATTTCTGTCTTTCCTTAACATGGATGTCGAAGAAAAATAGAAGTAAGATTTATTTGAGTTTTGATGCAAATGGAAAGCAACTATAATCTGTTAAACACGGCTGCCTCTCTTAGACTTGGTCACTTGCTACATTTTTACTTATCCTATTGTAGAAAAATGGCACATGCGCAAAGTTTCATTAATTATTTTGCACAATTAATATATAATATACCAAACAATCATACAAATATATATCAAACAATAAAATTCCAGATAAATACATAGATATGTATACTATACTAGATATGTATAATATACTAGATGTATACTAAACGAAAGACAATTAAAAGAAGCTCAAATGTATAATAAATTTTAAAGTAGCTTTATTTTTTATTGTAGCTTATTCTTTTTATCTGTAATAATTATTCTATTGTTTTTTTAAATAAATAATAAGGCTTTTTAATATATTTTTATAAAAAAAAACAAATTATTACAGATAGAAAAAATTATATTTAATAGAAAATAAATTCTAGTTCAAAATATTTATAGTATTTTTATATACTATATATACTACTTTAATCACTAAATTATTGATGATTATCTTAATTAATATACAAAAAAATAGAAAAAATAAAGGATATAAAAGTAATAAATAATTATTAGAGCTAATTATTCTTAATTATATTCCGACTTGGATTTAAAAGCTATATGTTATCTTCATCTTCATAAGTACTGATAGTATGAAAGTGTAAATAAGTAATATATGTAATATAGTATATTATTTATTTATATATATAAGTATAAATAAGTAATGACTAACAATAAGTACAAGAGGTGTTCAGCTTGTCAAAAATTCAAGTTCAAATAAAGAATTAATAGTCATACACTCAAACACATTAGCAATTTTTTAAAAATAGTTTTTATATATAGACAATAATATTGAATAATATTTTTTGTAAAGGCAATTAATTTAAGAATATTTCAAATATTAATATCATTTTATAGTTCCTATTAATTTATTAATTGTAAGATTATAGAACATATATTAAGAGCCCTCGCCGATCATGTTGGAATTGTGTCGTCAGAGGCGAGAAAGAACACGCTAAAATTTCTTGCGTGTCATTTTTAAATAAAAAATATTTCGATAAAACATTATTTCAGATGGCTTTAACACACTTAAAATAATTTGAAAACTATCTTTTCCATTATTTACTATCTATTTCATACATTTTTTCATTACTATAAGAATTTTTTAAAAATTATCTTTATAAACAAAATATATTTAATAATTTTTATATATTCAAGTATGACAAAAAAATGTTATCGAAGCTACGAATTTGAACTTGAGTTTCTAATGTGATTGAACATCTTATACCGAGTCATTACATACATATATATTATTCATAAATGCTTTCATATTATCAGTAATTATAAATCAGATGTTCTTACATGACACATTTATGTAATTGAAAGGAAATCAAGATAACATACTTGTCGGTCTACAAATCTGCGATTACTGAAAAATAAATGTTTCACCAAGAATTAACAATCGTATTCTACTTGTTTTTCTATCATGCTGACAATACATAAAGTATCGATGAAAAAAACAATAAATTGTCAAGTCTAATAAGCGCTCGTATTTTACATACTGTATATAGTTCACTCTATTAGCTATTATTCTACTATTATTATTTATTACCATACAATTTTGAAACCGCAGGTTTACTATTGTTGATTTATATAATAATTAAGGACAGTTTTAAAAGTGCACATTTGATATTAATATTTAGTTAGACAAATTAGATCAGAATGACGATTAAATAAGATAACATTATATGTAATTTCATGATAAGAAAAGAATAATTAAATTAATTGTAAAAAGTACATACACAAATTCATGTTTCGAGAATATTTGACATTTATGACACTATATGCAAGACTAACTAATAAATCGTTTATGTCTTTGCGTTCAAAAAATATAATTTTTGAGTTTTGATGACGAAAAACATGTCCCCTGCCTATAGTTTACATATAAATTAATATTTCTTCAAAATTGGAAAGCTCGTATAAATTAAACAAATTAATTAAAACATAAATTGATATTTAGGCCAACTAAACAAGCAATAAATCTTAAGATGTTATTTATTTATTTTAAACTTATAAACATTAAAAAACCGCAACGTTTCGATTGTACTACAGTCTTCTTCAATACAATAATAACATGGATAATGATCACAATATAAAATCATAAAATTAATATATAAAATAAAGAACAATTAAAAATAGGCAAATAAAAGTGGTAAAATCTCTATTCTTATCCAATGTGGGACAAAGAATTGTGACATAAATAATAGAATAAATATTATAAAAACGGCCGGGCAATAAAATATGTTAACACTACGCAATTAGTAACAATTGTCAAGTCGCAATTATAAAACATTTTAATTATAAAATAAAGAATATAAATAAAACAAATATTGTAAAACTTAACAAAAGTAATTATGAAAAAAGTCAATCACTAGAACCTAAGATTAACGCAATCAAAGATTAACGAAACAATTCATCGTTTGTAGGCAAAGAATATGTTAGTCAAAATTGTTTATCACGTCAACTATTTTTGATAAAACTTATATATGTTTCCAAGCTTTGGTGACTGGCCAGATAGATAACAATTATGAAAATGTCAAAAGAATAAAAAAGTTCGTCCGTAAAAGATGTTACTGATTAATCAGTCCTAATCCTGACTTTCAATCATACATATAACAATAATTTTTAATTGTTCTTTATTTTATATATTAATTTTATGATTTTATATTGTGATCATTATCCATGTTATTATTGTATTGAAGAAGACTGTAGTACAGTCGAAACGTTTGCGGTTTTTTAATGTTTATAAGTTTAAAATAAATAAGTAACATCTTAAGATTTATTGCTCATTTAGTTGGCCTAAATATCAATTTATGTTTTAATTAATATTTCTTTTCTATTTTTAACTTTCAAATATATTATCTTTTTAACTTCGTTTTTTCAAAGAAATTACGAACTTATAAAATTTCTAGTATAATGTTAAAAAATTATATTTATAGAAAAAAAATGGACGATTTTTCCTTGAAAATATTTTCTTTGTTTTCATATCACAAATAAATGGATACTTTTTTTTAAATATTCTATCCTGTACACAGCAGTAGAAATTCTTTTCGCTATTATATTGTTTACAGTTTTATTTTATATAGAACGCCTATAATTTTATTTCATATCGAACGCTTATATTAATCTGTAATCAGATTACATTATAAAACATACATGCAATGCTATGTATTGTAATTTTTTATTATGCTGCCAGATTCCAGATATATGTGCGAATAAATGCGCGAATATATGCATACATCGTAAGTGAAAATAGTAAAAATTAATGTACATCATCACATACCTAAACTCTTGACTGTCTATAAAATCGGATATATTTATTATGCAGATAAAATGTGCGAATTAATCGTGAAGTTGCCTCTGATATCGATAAACAATTCAAGTATTATGCTTATATCTTTGCAAGAATTTGAAGCAAGAAGTATTAGAATATATTCTATAAAAGAGATTACATACTATTTGATATTATAGAGCAAGCGTTCTCATATTTTCATATACACACACACATACATGTATGTATGTACGTATTATCTAAATTTACAATATTTTTGTATCTCATCCTATATATATAAAATTGGAATCATAGATGCTGATTTATAGATTTATAGCCTTTACTTAAATTATATACATATATATATTTCAAATAAAAATTATAAATTTACAATCACGCATGCGCGGCGCGTGCGTCATCAATGATTTTATTCTAAGAGTGTTGCATAATTAACTTTGAAAACGCAATTGTATAGTAATTTATAAAAGCAATTTTGCAACTTAAAATTTTTTTAAATTAGGCTTATATAATTTTATGTAGTAATAAAATAATTTTGTGTGTAAAGATATGTAATCACAAAAATTATTGAGATGAGTTATTTATTGATTAATATTTATTTTCTACTAAATGCAAAGTGTATCAATATTTAGATACCAAATTTAAAACATGTGCTAACATTTAATCTATAGAACATATAGATTGCAAATACTTAATAGCTTTCTATTGTATTATTTAATATAAATTATTATATTAAATAAGAATATATCTAATAATTAACACAATCAACGATTTTTATGATAGTTTTGCTTGCTAAGTTTGATATAATTCGCACATATTCATTAGAATTGTTCTCGTAGATATTAGTGTTTGTTTAAGGCAAGGATATCTTACTTCGTTACTCTGTGTGTGATTTCTTTCTATAAATATTGATCATCGTACACGATGTATAAAATATCTCACCAAAAGCAAGATAGCACGTACGCAAGCATACTATAATGTATATAACTAGACGTTATGAAGAATAAATGAAGGACTAGGAATCTCAGTGGATCCTGATGTACTTTGGAACCACCTCTATCTGATCCTTTTGTACCAAGAAACGTTCCATGTTTATAAAAATGCTCCAAGAGCGCTTCTTTTTCTACCCATCTGTCATACAACCATTTGGATAATTGTTCTGGTTCGCGTGGAACCTACACAACAATTACATAGCATTATGTAAATACTGTTATGTGACAATGAACTGCGATTTCAGGTCAGTCATTACTTACCACTGAGCTAGGAAAAAGTCGATAGAATAATACCGTCTCGCACGGAGATCTCGAACCAGTTATAATAGTAGGTAAGTCAAGCGGCTTACCTTGAGGATACGCTATCGTTATATCAAGAATCCAACTAATTTCTGGCTTAGCTACTATCATATCTAAAAATAAAAAAAATATATATAGTTTTATTACATCGAATTTTACGAATAAAAATTATTACATATTATGAATAAATCAATTTAAGGATGTCTGTCAGAGATATAAAAATATTAATGCTATTCAGGCTGTACAACTTATACAGTGAGCAAAAGGTTCCATAATAGTCAAATATCTTGGAAAATAATGACTGTGGAAGAAAATGTTAAATACAAAAGAAAATTAAATGGTTTATTATGTGACTATGGGTTTGTTTTCTGTTCCTGCACTAATAAACTAGTGCACACTGATGCAATAAGTTAGAGTGAGACAAACTATACTTGTCTCATTATAACTTATTGCACCAGTGTGCACTAGTTCATTAGTGCAGGAACAGAAAACAAACCTTATATTGATATGACCTTCATGTGACCTTGAAGAACACAATAAAGATTAATTTTGAAATCTTAAATGGAAATCCCCATTTTTTTATTGTATATTCTTGAAGCTGATGTCAAGGCGTTGTCAAAACACTAGTTACAAACCCTCTTTACTTAAGATCTTCCTGAATTATAAACTTTCAAAATTTATGTATCACCAGCATTAGTATTACCCAAAGTGTATCGCGTGGTACAGTCCTTCAAGGTCATATGAAAGTCATATCAATATAACCACATAATAGACTATTTAATTTTCTAAACTTGTGTATTTAAAATTTTTTTCCATATTTTCTTCCATATATTCTTCCATATTTTTTCTATATATTTATTACAGTTTTTTTTTCATTAACAAATGGCATTTAAGAATTTCCAGCATGTACTTTCTCGCTTCTGACATCACAATCTAACATGGTCGCGAGGTCCAGGAGTCTTAAGTTCCTAATCAAATATGTCAAGACCGCCAGAAGAATTAAAAATAAAAAATAAAACAATCTCTTTTCAACCGTACTAGTAAATAATTTATTGATATTAATCACTACGTTTCGACCATAGTTTACATTAAACAGATTATACTAACTAGTTAGTTTAAATCTGTTCAATGTATTAGACGTGTGTTAAACTTGACACTATGCTCTCTCTTTTTGACATCTCAGGAATATAATTGTTCGCAATTCACTTGAAAAAGAACAAAAACTATGGTCAAAATGTAGTGATTAATATCAATAAATTATTTACCAGTATGGTTGAAAAGAGATTGTGTTTTATTTTTTAAGTTCCTAACTTTTAACTATTTCTCATTTCCAATGCGATTAAACTAATAATCGCAGTAATTTTTTAATAATTGCAAAACGAGCAATCATTTTGAAACTTTGCAGAAACATTTGTACATGTTTCAAAAACATTATATAACAAAATCGAATTTTTATTGGTTTTTTATTGTTTGTGAACCATTTTATCTGTCTCTCTCGAACGTTTACATAAAATTCTATATTAAAATCACAAAATTCAATAATTAATAACTTTTAAACAAGTCAAATAGAAAAATTTGAAATATAATTCATCATGATTTGGGTTACATTACTAATTGTAAGAATGTCCAATTAAAAATTCGCGGCAATACCATCGATTTGTATATCTATCCAATACATCCTTACTAAAATAAATACAAAAGAATTTTTTAGAAAAAATGCAGATTTACTTGGTCGACTGTTTAATTGTTGATCCTGCACATCTCTACTCGATGCTGGTCCAAGAGTATCGAATATCGTCTGCATAGCACCTACCCTTGGCAAAGTTACATTCTCAAGAATAGGTAAATTATTTTTCTTGGCGTATTTTTGCGAAGTTTCTCGTCTCTTGCACAGAAAGCCTCCTTCCGGAAAGAGTACCATCCATTTTCTATCCCGCGGTATGTAGGAATCTTGAAGATGTTTCTCTAATTTTTTTAAACTTTCTTCCCTTCGTTTACGGCCCTGTAGTTATCTAATATATAATGGTTGAAAATAATAGAGAGAAAGAGAGAGAAAGATAGTGCATTCTTCTAAATTAAATGATAGAAAAGCAGTGTAACAAACGTATATTTTGATTGACCTTGAAATTAACTTTGATTTTAATTTGAAAAAAAATTTTGCATTAAAAGTCAGATTAAATCGTAAATTAGCAAGTTAGGATTTTGAAATTTAATAAGATTAAAGATATAACAAAAGATAATAATGTATATTTCTAAACATATTGAAAAGCAAAAAATTAGATATTTTTAAAAATATTGAAGACTTATTTATATTTCGAATCTTCAGAAATTTTAAAAAAGAAAATGTATTTGCAATTTAAAAAAGTCTTTTTGATATTAAATATTAAAATTATTATATCAATCCATGATTATAAATGAATTATACACTATATAAAGTGTATAATTTATTTATAATCATGGATTTATATTAATATTAAAATATTATATATAATGCTTTAATTATGTTTTGTTAATATTAAAAAACATTTAAAACTATTTTGAATTGTATTAGCGTTAAAAAATAATGGTAATTTTTTTCTCCTAGTAAAATCAATAAATAGTAATCAGTTATATCTTTCAAAAACTTGAAAAAAAAAAAAATTAAATTGCTATAAAAAATAAATTTTGTTAACAATAATTATTGTGCATATTTTATAAATGCGAAGTGACTTATGAAAAAAATAATTAATTTTTATATTTTTAAGAAAAAGATTTTATTTCTCGTTTCTGATATAAAAATGATTGCAAAACAGAAATTTAAAAAGCAACTTCAATACTTACTGATACGATAAAGAAATCTTGATGTAGTATTGAAACTATTCCAAAATTAGTAAATTTGAACACTCTATCCATTATCCACATTAAATTGGGTAAAACATTTGGTTTGGCATTAAATGTTGTCATTAATATAGGAACATCACCAGTACTCTGGTGATTTGCTATAACTAATGTTTTTTCACTTATAATCTGCTGTATGTCATCGCCTTGTTCTATTACTGTTAAAAAAAGATATTTATAATCATATCTTATATCTAGATTGTATTATTCGTATATTAATATAAAATTAATATAATAATTAATGTAATAAATTAAACGTAATATAAAATGAATATAATAAATTAATATAATATACATCTAGGCTGTATATTAATAAAATGCACTATATATTTGTACATTTTTAAGTATATTATTAATATACTCACTGTCGTAACCTGCAGACCAAGTCCACATGGATACCATCGCCAACAACCAGTGGAAAAATAGGCCCTCGATTCGCCAATACACTTGAGGTTGATATACTTTTACGGGAAACAATAACATCATCCATACTACGTATGTAGGTATACAATAAACATTGTTCAATATCACAAATGCCGTTCGAGCAACACACTTCAGTAAAGTCACTACGTTGCTAATTATTCTGCAAAGTACATTATTATATATGTATAAATTATATTATTATATAAAAATTATAGAGTATAAATATATATTATTTATAATATAGCTGTTATATATATTTAGGTATACTATTATATATATTTAGATATAAGGAATAAATGCATTGCATCAAGTTTGAGTTGATATATATTTTGATTTTATATATAATTTATATAATATATAAATATACAAAATATATATGTACTAGATATAATTATGTATTAAAAATAAAAATAAAATAATTTTTTTCCTATGTTATTTAATAATAACAAATCATTATTAACAGAATGTAATTACATATATCTAAAAGCATGCACAAAACATGATATATATTTTTATTTGTTAATTGCACGCATTTCCTATTATAATGAAATTTTTTACATTGAAACCTAATCATTCAAAAAAGAATCTGTGTACAATCCACTTATTCAATTACAGCATTAAAGAATCAAGCTGATTGTATAGTAATTTAAATTGTTTTATTTCAAACACAATAGCCAATAGCATTGTGTCGCTTCAAAGAAACTGACATAGACATTAACAAATTTAAAATTAAAAATTCTAAATATTAAAATTTATTATATATTGCAATTTATTATAACAAACTATTACATATTATTACAATAAAATTGTAACTGCAATTGTGTATAAAATAATTAATTAAATATTTATGGAAAATTGAAAATAATCAATAAGTTATACTTAAAAAAAAGTAATATTATACTTAAAAAAAAATTAATAGCTAAAGTAAAAATTTTAATTAATATAATCGAATATAGTTGAGATTATGGCAGTAATAAGAAAATATTTCATATAAAAATTAAAAGGTTTTAAGGGGGAAAATTCATAACCTTGAATTTTAATTAACAAGAAGACCTTTTTTCAAAATTATTTAAAGATAAATCTAGTTTTTTTTTCTTTTTTTTTTTAATGAAACCACTTTAATTCTTGTACATCAATTTCTCGCAATATTCAACACAAAAAGTTATGAAGATAGGATAATCGAAAAGTAATATTTTAAACTTAAATGTGACATAATTTTATATAAATTATGAAATATATATCTTATAAAATATTTATATCAATCAATATTTTTATGTGGAAAATAATGAGAGGAATCAATTAGAGTAAAAAAGGCAGTTATTTTAAAAACAAAATAAAGCTGCTAATTACATAAATTACATACATTTAAGGTCATTAAAAAATGAATATTTTACGAAATAATTTAGATAAAATGGTTATATATATGTGTGTGTGTGTGTTGTGTATATGTTTATCTCCCTTTTCTCCATTTGCTCACATAATATTTCACATGTTTTTTCTACATAATATTCCAGACAACAAAAGTAATTATTTTAAAGGCAAAACGATGTAAATTACATTATTTTGACGTCAAAATAATATCGTAATAATTACTGTGACTATCTGGGATTGAGGTTAGGATTACGTTTTCTATAAAATATACAAGTATATTCACACCGCGAAATTTACAACAGAATTTATAGTATGCATTATATATATTTATTTATTTAACGCAATTTGTGGGAAAATGCCACAAATATCGTAAAAAAAGATCGTGTAATTCAGATAAATATATATATATATATATATGTGTGTATGAGCGAACGTTACCTGACGAAAGTAGAGGAGACAGAGTCAGTCATTTTCGAAAGCCACCATCCGTTGTGAAAATTCGTGGAAATGTCATACACTTTTTTTTCACCATAGCCTTCCCTCATATGCGGCTTACATAATAAATTCGTTATCCCGAACGAGACACATGCAGTTTTTCGGATTCACAAATTGTTTACATATCAAGAACTACTGCAACGCCGACACAGGTATATGTATATATATACACACACACGCGCGCGCGCGCGCGTGTGTGTGTATACATATACATATATATATATATGATCGCAGTCAATCTTCCGTTTTTCTACTGTATAATCTTTTTTAGACGCTTCATTCGTCAATTACGAGTGCTAATAAAGTCGCGAAAATCGGTCAGTAATTATTATATCTATATTTCATATTTACCGCTGATCGAACTTTAAGTGATGTTCTCTCTTGTATCGAAGGAATATCGTGTTATTCATATCTCGGTTTTATTCTCGGTCCCTTTTCTGTATTGGATGAGTGTAATATGTCAAATCACTCCAGACACATATATAATTCGCTAGAAATGGCGGTTCGATTCGGCTCGATTCGACTCGATTCACGTTCGAGTCTCTCGACACGTGTCAGTTCGGTGATGGTTTTGATATCAATTCGTATTTTATTTTATATTCCGTACGCTGCGTCCATTCGCCTCGAACTGTTGCAATAACTGTTATTTACTAATATGTCACTTTATTTCTTGCGAAGATGTTAAAAAAAAGAAAGAAACGAGAGAAGATTCGATATTAAAGTTTGTACTCTAAATTCCTATTTCGTTGATTTCTAGAAACGTTTAAGGGTCGACAGGTCGGTCGGCCAAACTCCGAATTGATGTTGAAGACCTCGCGCGGTGACAACGCGAAACTCCGATTTCAGTGTTGCCAACGCCGAGAAACCAATTCTCGGGTTTTATGTAGTGGTGCATGTCTGTACACGTACATACATCATTGCATTGCTCACGCGGACGCACCGTAGAGAGACAAGGACCGATAATCTCCTTGTTCCTTTACCGTGCCGGTATACGCGGATGCTGCCTAAAAATGCTTTCTGGCCTTCCGTAGCAGAAGGCAGTAGCGTAGCAAGGCTAATAACTACTTTTTGTAAATCTTATATATGCTTATGCACCAGGGTTGGGAAGTAACGAGTTACTTGTAACGAAGTTACAGTTACAGTTACTTTTTTTTCGGTAACTGTAACTTAACTTCGTTACTTTTCTCCATCTGTAACTGTAACTGTAACTTAGTTACATTTTTTTAGTAACTAGTAACTATTTTAACAGTTACTTTATTAGTTACTTTTTTTGGAAACATCCGCTAAAAGTATCGTTTAAGTTTGGTAGCCGTTATATTGTTAAATTAAATTTTGTTAACAGTAGCATATGGATCTTCATATGATTTAATCTTTTACCTAAAATTTTCATTTTGTGTACATAAAATAATATAACACATAATTAAAATCGACCAATCACAGTCAAATATTTAAAAAATTCTTAAATGTAATAATTGATCGATTTGCTTCAAGAATTTTTTTAAATACTTGACTGTGATTGTGCATAAAATGTAATATCTCCTCCTTATATTTAAAATAATGTATAATTATTTTTTAAAAGTAACTGAAAAGTAACGACTCGTTACTTTTTGAGTAACTGTAACTGTAATGAGTTATTTTTTAAAATCAGTAACTTGTAACTGTAACTAGTTACTTTTTCAATAAAATAACTGTAACTGTAACTAATTATTTTTACAAAGTAACTTTCCCAACCCTGTTATGCACATATGTGCGTAAATATATATATATATATATATATATATATATATGTATATAAATATATTATATAAGGGATATGTTGATTATTCTTGATTTCTTTTTGATTATTGATGCTATTGTATAATTTGCTTCAAATACTTATAACGTGAAAGAACGTTGAGTAATGTATAATCAATGCAAGGATGTTCAGTATATCATCCAGTAAATATTAGAGTTCAATATCAATTTTTTTATAATATATATATATTTATATATATATATATATATATATATATATATATATATATATATTGGAATATAGAAAAATGATAAAAAAATATATTTCGGCGATTTAAAAATTTTTTAATATATTGAAAATATTTTTACTACATACACTATATATAAGTGTAAAATAATTTAGAAAATAAATTTAATAAAAATCTACATACCAGCTGTGTGCATGTGTGCAATTGATTTATTACTTGAAATTTATTTACGGAATTATTTTGCATTTATATATTTATAGTGTGTGTAGTTGTAAAATGATTAAAATATTTTCAATATCAAATTTTTAAGTTTATCGCCTATATAAAAAATATATTTCTATGATTTTCTATATTCCAATATATTATAAAAAAATTGATATTGATATATTTGAACTCAAGTTTTTTACGTGATTAAATATTCTTGCATTGAGCCATCATACGTTACTCGTAAGTTCTTTCACGTCATAAGTACTTATGTAGCAGAGAGAAAGAAATGAGAGTTATACAATGTAACATCAATAATCGGAAAAATCAAGATAACGGTCGTCATATCTGTGTATATATATATATATATATATATATATATATATATATACATATATATATAAATATATATACATATATAAACTTATATATTATATATATATATATATATATATATATATATATATATACTTATATATATATATATATATATATTTAATTTATTTATAAAATACATTTTTAATTCATATTCAACCTGAATGATATTTTCTATATGCTTATGCTATCCTCCGATCTATCCCTAACAAATTAGGAGGTGTAATTGCATTATTATCATCAATTATTATCTTATACTTTTTACCTCTAATTTCTATAAAATTTAATTCATTATCATTTTATCCTTTAAATCAATATTTATTTTGAATTTTCATTAATATTTATATTCTATTAACATGAGCAGGAGCTCAACCTATTGAAATACCTTTTATCATTATTAGACAAATTTTATCATTATGTTACTTTCTTTATTTTATCTTATTACCTTTCCTAATAAAATTTGAGATTTAATTATTTTTAAATAAATATTTTAAAATTTATTATTATAAATAAATTTAAAATATTAAAAATAATTATATTTAATACTTAAATTTTTTATAAATTACTATTAAATTAAGTTAATGATCTTGAATTTAAGTTTATGTTTTGAAAACATATTAAAGAAATTTTAATTTTTTATTACCTTTTAAACATTTACTTTTTTACTAAATTATTATTAATAATATAAATTTAAATCCAAAAATTAATAAAATATAAACTAAAATTATTGGTAAAATAATTTTCCAACATAAATATATTAATTTATCATATCGTATTTGAGGAAGTATTCCATGTATAAAAATTACTATTCTACATAAAATATTAATTAAAATAAAAGTTAAAATTATTGAATATTTTAATAAATTCCTAAATATATAAATTCTAATTAATCTAAAAAAATAATTATTTCATATTCAGATAAAAAATTAATGTAAACCCACCCCTAAAATATTCAATATTAAACTCTGAAACTAATTCTGACTCACCTTCGATAAAATCTATAAGACTTCGATTTAATTTAGCTAAAATCCTAATAAAAACTATAATAAACAAAGGATATAAAACTACTATATATTATAAATAAAATTGATAATTAATAAAATTAAAAAAAGAATATCTCTCTCTTATTAATATAATAACTAAAATAATTAAAATAAATCTTACTTCATATGATAATATTTGTGAAACTGATCGTATTGCCCCTATTATTGAATAAATCTAATTAGCTGATCATCCCATAAAAATTATAACATATCCTCTAATAGTTATAAAAACAATTATTAATAAAATAGAATAATTTAAAAAATAAATATTAGTAATGTAAGGAAATACTAATCATATTATTATTAAAACAAATCTAATTATAGGACATAAATAAAAAAAATTATAATTAGATTTATATACATAAAATAATTCTTTATTAAGTAATTTAATAGCATCACTAAAAGATTGAAATAATTCTATAAATCCCACCTTATTAGGTTCTTTACGAATTTGTACATATCTTAAAATTTTTCGTTCTAATAAAGTTAAAAAAGCTACTCCAACTAATATAATTAATAACAAAATTAACAATCTTAATATTTTAACGCACTATAAAAATATAATCTTAAATTTTGACAAATTATTACTTGTATAACTTTTTTCTATCATACATTATTTAAATTCTAAATTTAATACACTTAAATTCTGCCAAAGTAATTTTATTTATTTACATATATTTAATCAATTAAATTTATTCATTAAAAAAATATAATTTAAAAAAAAGTCCTTTCGTACAAAATTTTCTTAATTTTATTATAGATAGAAACCGATCTGGCTTACACACCGATCTGAACTCAAATTATGTAAAATTTTATTAGTCGAACAGACTAAAATATTAAACTTCTTTATTTAATTTTTATTTTAATTCAACATCGAGGTCGCAATCATTTTTATTAATATGATCTTCCTAAAAATATTACGCTGTTATCCCTAAGGTAATTAATTTTTATAATAATTATTATAAAAAAAAAATTTTTTCTTAATTTAATAATCAATCCTTTATAAAATATCATTAATTAATGTTAAAATTATCTTTAAATTAAAGTTTATTTTATTTAATTATTCTCCCAATATAAAATATAATCATCAAAATAAATTTATTTCCTTAAATAATTTAAAAATTATATTAAATTCAATAGGGTCTTTTCGTTCCATAATTTCTTTTAAGAATTTTAACTTAAAATTTAAATTTTAAATCTACAAATTGAAACAGCTTTAATTTCATCAAATTCCTTCCTTCATCCAGTTTTTATTTAAAAAACAATTGATTATGCTATCTTTGCACAGTCAATATACTGCGGCTATTTAAAAATCACTGAGCAGAAATAATTTTAAATTATTATCAAAAAACCATGTTTTGGTTAAACAAGTAAATTAAAATTTTAATTTAATAAAATAAATTTGCCTAATTCTTTAAATTATATATACATATATATTTTAATTTAAAAATTTCTATATAATTTATAAATATACTTATACTATCAGTATTTATTAAAATACTT